CATCTCTGAACTGACCGGCAGGAAACACACACGAGAGGGTGTTTGTGATGACCTGACCAAACACGGACTGAGACACACAGCTGATTTCTGAGTTTTTCCCATGGACTGAATGCCTTGCTGAGTTTCCCGCTTGCTACTAAGTTCTCTAAGTCTGTGTTTGTGCATGCTTGCTGGTCTGCATGTCTGTCTGAGTGCTTGATGACTTGAGTGTGTGTGTGACCCGCAAGGGCACTTGTTCGTTTGTTGGGCCCTCAGGGCCAGTGCTTACCTGTGGCCGTGACATTGAGGATTGCAGCGGGGGAAAACACTCAAGTGGCGGGGAAAGAGTCCCGCAACACTTGAAGCAGCACAAGTAGCAGGTAGGTCGGTACCACACCCTGAAGAGGTAGATGGGCCGGGTACTCGAGGCCGAGCAGAAAAGACAAAAGTGGCATTTTTAGAGGCCCAGTAGTTGTAGGCTAGGTCTAGGCGGGTACCAGTCCAACCAGTCTGAGTCTAGGGCCTGTACGGGCAATATCAGAGTCTGCAATGATGTTTCCCTCCGGAAGGGAGGAGGTATCGGTTGCTTGGAAGGCCGAGCGGCCAGGAAGTCACCGCCCAAGAGGCAAGCAGGCCGCTATATCTCCAGGCCGGGCGAAGAGCCCAGCCTCATTGCCGGTGTGCAAGTTTGGCGACACACTGGTTGGAGCGCTGGCTGGAACAGCGCTAGCACTCAGCAGCACTGCTGGGGAAAGTGCAAGGACATGGAGGAGGAAGAAGGCTAGGGTTAGGGAGGAGAGCCAGAGGTACTTACCTGGCTATGGTGGCAGCCATCTTCATCACCTTGGTGGGCGATGCAGCAGGAAGGCCCCAGCTGGGGTAGAGCTACACCAAGAAGCTTCAAGGCAGAGTTAGGCATGGCGGCCTGAGTTAGAGCACCCATAGCTGCTTTGGGTTGTCCTTTGGGCATCTGGGAAAGGCCTAGTAGTCCGCCATAGCCTCGGCCTATGAGAGTGAAGAGTGGGAGAGGCGGCCATGGCTATGGTGGACCTCAAGTGATACCTGCAGTAGAAGAGAGATTCGGACATTGATTCTGGTTCAGCCATTCAACATTGTATTATTATTTCTTGTGTGAATAAGAGAAGAGGAGATAAGGAGGAAGAGAGAGTTTGGCGAAGAAGAAGAGCTTTATCATTTGTCTATGCTGGCGTACATCATCTTCTTCTTCTTTCTTACTTCTTCTTCTTCTTCTAACCTTCTCTCTCCTCTCAAGTTCATTCATTTCTTTCTGCAATTGGACGGCATTGTACTATCTGATGAATGTATATCTCGAAATTGGCCAGGATCATAACATGTTTGGGAAAAAAAAAAAAAAAAAAGCCGGTATAAGGTGAGCTCCATGTACCAGGCACCCCTTGTGCAGATTAGCAGCTAGATTAGGACCTTGATGAAACACACGAGGCGGATGCTCAGTGGAATCACATTCATGAACACCAACTATTGGCTTGCTGGATCGATGGATGGCGAGGAGCTCTGAACCACATACATTAAACACCGACTATTGGCTTGCTGGTCGTCGTGCTGGATCGATCGACGGTGAGGATCTCTTTTACATATGTATCCAACGGTATGTCTGTTACGAACTTACGACATTTATGTCACAATTTTCTTTCAAAACAAAAAGAATGAAAGAAAGAAGGGGCAAAGGCCTTGAGATATCGTCTCTGAATGGACCAGCCCCCGGTAAATTCAGAGTTACTTTTTACTCATCTGGTTCTGTTGGAGTGCGAACTCAGGTCTGTGTTTCAACAGTTCATGGGCGTACCAACTGAGCTCGGTGAGCTGGTGCGGGGCGGCAAAGTCAAACCTCAAACTCTGAGTAATATTTGTATGTTTGCACGCAGTGAGGAGGAAGCTCATACGAATCACGTAAATTAAGCACAACTATAGGCTTGCGAGTAGTTGCTACTGCATTAATCCATGCTGACATTTCCTTCACATATGCACGTAGGGTATTGTTAACATACAGGACGTCCAAGATCAACTCTCTACAAATCGAACCTATGACCTGCCACCAAAGAGGTGGATCACTTAACCAATAGGTAAAGGGAGCTGGGATGAAAGTGAAGCCCCGTGAAGGACATTTAAACCGACCCCAGTATGGGAGACATTGGATTCATCAATAAACCGATGTACGCAGAGTCTACGCAAGCCAGGTGCACATGAGGGGTTAACTTGAAGCACCGGACAGACCTCAACCACTCAAGCCAGGTGCACGTGAGGGGTTAACTCACAGCACAGGACAAACCTCAACCACGCACTGCAAGGGTGGCCAACCGGCTCTAACTGCTTGCTAACACATACGGTATGTCAGCCGTGAAGCAGCGAGGTTGAAACTCTTACAATGTAGGGTATGTCCGACCGGCTGTAAGTGCTTGCTAACATGTAGGATAGGTCAGCAGTGAAGCAGTGAGGTTCGGACTCTCACAAAAAATGTAGCGTATGTCTGCAGCAATTTATGTGTGCATGCATGCGGGCAGTGTAGCCCACTCAATGCAAGGACCCGGCTGCAGCCTACCAAGGAGGAGGAAGGAGGAGGAAGAAAAAAGGGGGAAAACGAGGAAGAAGGGAGGAGGAGGAGGAAGGAGGAGGAGGAAGAAGAAGAGAGGCGAGAGGAGGAGGACATCATGTGGTTCAATGTCACTCTCACAATACCCCTGCCAGGGACAGAACCTTGCAAAATTTCTGTCTGGGACCGCTGGGTTATATTTGTTACGGTGACACACGAGCTTGCCCCTTGACAACTGATTCCATCATGCCAGCGAATACACCCAAAGGTGTCATCAAAGTTGATCAAACAGTGAAAAATAAAATAATAACTGGTACTGCCTTCAGCATAGCCAAACATCACTCTCAGGCCAAACATGCAATGTGCACAAAGAAGGAGAACGAAGAGCCTCGCAAGACTGACCTGCGCCCACTGCCTGGGTAACATTTGTTACGATGACACCAGCTTGCCCCTTCACAACCGATTCCATCATACCAGCGAATACACCCAATGGCGTCATCGAACAGTATAAAATGATAACCGGCACTGCCTTCCGCAGAGGCACGTCCTCCCGAACAAACTGCACCAGAAGAGAACATGGCGCGGGTGAGCAGTTAGGTGACCAATACAAGCGACAACCAGAGGGGCAGGGGAGTGATTACCCACATGTTGAAAGGATGCACCTTACTGAGTTACCCTGCCAAGCAACGATCCAGAAGACGATGACAGAAACGAAGTTATGATTCCAACCAATGAACATAAAGAGCTTTCAAAACCACCTCCCAAAACACACTGTGTGCGGAGATTATGTTCAACAGTCCTCAAATCAAAGGTCTAAATACCTTGCTTTCTCTTGTTGACGTGCAGGCATTCTGCGCGGGTAGAGAATCTTCAAGAAGGAACATATCTTACTCAGAAATGAGCTAAATGAATTGGGGCCAGTTGCAGGTACGTACAGGGCCTGCTACAGGCCCAACTCTCTACAATTTCAATTTGCTGTGAATATGGACGGAAAACGCACATCTCGGGTCGCACATCCCGACCGGTGACATCTACAGAGACCTTCTATGCCCTGCTTGGGGGGCACTCAAGGTGGTGCAAAGGATGCAGCCTGAGTGCAATCGTTTGGAGCAATGTGCCTCAAAAAGGGGCTTTGCTGGTCATGCACACCTCCCGAAAGGTTGGTAAGTGCGGTGGCATATCACACAATTCCTTCAGAGCATGCGATTGTCGTGACCCGGTGATAACGAGGATGAAAATTTATGGCAGAGCTTGGTGACAGCAACCGATGTTAGCACAGTGCATGGGTGGGGTAATCTTCATGATTATGATCATCATTACTATGGTGAGGTTCGAGTCCTACTCGCCGTGGACCTTCATTGCACGATCGTCATTATCAACGCCAGGTAGGAGTGTTCACCAACTGACTCGGGCGCGATTCCTTCTTAAACTGAAGGTTAAAAATAAACTTCAAGACCTTAAAACCAAAAAGAGACATGGCAGAGTGGCACAGCCCTTTGAGCCCCTTCAAACCCCTTTAAGACCCTTCAAACCCCTTTAAAGTTTAAAGTTTAAAGTTTAAACCCCTTTAATTGCAAGACTGTGAATCCTGTGCTTTTTCTGAGTTTTTGTCATCGTTAGGTGTGCTCGCTAGTGTGTTTGCTGTCCCGGCTGAGTACTTGAGTGTGTGCATGACTGGAGTGTCGGTTGGTGTGTGACGCGGCCCCTGGGCCTCGTACAAACCCTGTTGCCTTGTGTGCTGGTGCAGCGGGAAAGCTTTGGAAGATTGGCCCTCTGTGGCCAACATCAAGAAGCAGCGGGTAGTAGGCAGAAAAGGACAAAAAGGTAGTACCGTAGTACCTTTACGTAGGCCGAAGTAGCACCCTGAGATCCGGTAGGTCTAGGAGTAGGTTCTAGGAGGGTACCGGCCTGGAAAGATGTCTATGTCTAGGGGCTGCAGGTAGGATATCACATGGCAGTGATGTTCTTGCCAAAAAGGAAGGGAACCGGTAGGCTCTGGAGGCCGCGCTGTTTGGAAACTCACCTCGGTAGAGGCAGCAGCCAAGAACTCGAGGAACAGCACTGAGTTGCTCCACCTCATTCTTCGGGTAGCCAGGCAACAAAGCTGCTGGACCATGGGCTTGGCAAGTGTAGCGCCAAGCAGAGACGACAATGTGGAGCTGCCGCCCCCCATGCTGGCTATGGTGGTTGAAGCCAGGGTAAGGTAGGAGAAGGGCATGGCTATGGAGGAGAACTGAGGGAGGAATAAGGAGAAAGAAGAAGACGGAGAAAGAAGAAGGAGAAAGAAGAAGGAGAGAAAGAAGAAGGAGAAAGAAGAAGGAGAAAGGAGAAAAAAGAAGGAGAAAGAAGAAGGAGAAAGGAGTAGTAAGAAGAAGGAGAGGGAAGATGAAGGAGAAGGCTTACCTTGGCTATGTTGTACTGCATCTCCTCCTTCGTTGGTGCTGCACCCAGGAGGCCCCTGGATGGGCTTCCGATGTATGGAGGCCTCCGGATGGTGAAGTAGGCTTGGCAGTGGGAGGGGGAGGACTGGGAGGAGCCATAGGAGCTTTGCGTTGTCCTTTGAATATCCAGGCTAGTCCTGGATGAGCCGCCATAGCCGGTTGCTCAAGCAAGTAGTGGTAGGAGGTGTAGGAGGTCGAAGGTGGCCTTCTTGTGAGGCCGACAGTAAGGGGGAGATTCGGACATCGAATCTTGGCACATTCGTTCATTGTTATTGTTTGCTGCAATTAATAAGATGTTGGTGGATTTGACAGAGAGAGAGATGGAGCCGAGATGAGGGGGAAGTGACACTGGTTCCATGTAGTCTTCTTCTTCTCCTTCTTCTTCTTCTTTCCCCATGCTCCATATTCTTCATCTCCCCTTATCTATTTCTCCTTCCAATCTCTTTCATGTGAGTTGCAATTGAACGGCATTTTCCTTTTTCAGTTTTGCATTGTGAGATATCCATGATCATAACACAACGTACACCCCCCTACACTCCCTAAGGTGACACAGTACCAAATTCACAGAGAATGAAAAGGCTAGCTGGCAGTCGATACTCCTGTACAGGTAGCGATCAATGCTGTCCAGAGATTCTTCGGCCTGAGCAAAAGCAAATCCGCTGTATCTGTGTAGTTCATCGATTTGCGACTTGCCAGAGGAATAGGAACCAGGCTAACACTCCCCAGAATGGATATCGAGTCAGGCCCATAAGCATAAGGTCCTGTTTTCCCTTCTTCTTTTTTTGTTGCCGAGAGGGGGGGTGGAGGGGGGGGGGGGNNNNGGGGGGGCGGGGAGAAACAAGCAATCAGAATTTGTGAGATAACCAGGCCATGCTGACTGCCAACTACCTTCTTCACCTGAATACAACGTACGGTCATTATTGCTCTATTTAGACGGAAAGATACCCCAAATACAGCTATAATCACCGTACGTTGTATTCGGGTGAAGAAGGTAGACAGGCGCAACCAGTCAGCATTCTTCTCCTATGATCATCATAGGCGTAGTTGTTTGTGAAACCTCGTATCAGGGTGCCAATGCGGAGGCACAGAATCCGCCTGACTCGCATATCGTCTCTGAGCTCGTTGAGGCCTCGGGGAAAGAGAAGAATAATGCCGATGAACACAGAACAGCCCAGACGACTGATGCAGGAAGGAAGCAATTACCGATTAGTACGGCGAATACTGAGGACAGCCTTGGTGGTCAGAGTGGTGTATCCTTGGATGGGATTAAAATTCATCAAATCATTAAGATTTCAGGCAGGTTTGCATAGCAGACTCAGAAGAATGAACCAGACTGATCTTGAGACTGTTTTTTTTTTGTTTTGTTTTTGTTTGTTTGTTTGTTTGTTTAAAGCACCAGTACACGGCCTCAGCCTTGCAGCAAAATAACTTGTCGCCGCAAGTAAAAGGAAGGCTCGGGGCTGGGTCGGAGCGTCAGAAGGTTTTCAATTTCTTGGGCCCATGTCAAATCCGCACGTCCAAAAAACAAAACAAGCTTTCGCCATGATTGCAGTTGGATACACTTTTTGGAGTACTCCGTGTGAGTCTGCCCTCAGTGAGGGCACTTTGGCAGAACGAAGAACACGGGGAGCACAACTGTCAGACAAAAAAAAGAACAAAAAAAAAAAAACAACCAAGCTTTAGCCGTGAAAGTGGTTGAATTCATTTCAACGGCTAGTGTGAGTATGCTCTCAGGGAGGGCATTTTTAGCACGAGGTGCGCTGCCTTGCTGGCAGGGAAAGGAGGAAAAGAACAGAAGGAGAAAAAAAGAAGAAAAGAAAAAACAGCAACGTTTCCCTCTCCCCATAACAGTGGTCAGATGCATTCTGGAAAGTGATCACTTGAGTATGGCCTCCACGACGTCCTTCCACGACATCATTGATCTCTGGCTTGTTTGTTCCTTTCTTTTTCTTTTTTTCTTTTTCCCTTCAGGTAGACTGTCGGCACCGGTGCCACTTCCGAAATTCCCACTGCAGGTACCCTCACGCAGAAGGCTCGGAAAATAGCGGCGCGCAGTGGGCAGGTAGGCTCGGGATTTTAGGTGCGGGTGGACTGGTGGTTTAAGTGGGTGGTTTTATGGACAGGAAAAGGGTTTCTGCCTTTAGAATCGGCTTGACTGATGACAGTCAATTCACCCGAAGGAGGAAGCAACAAATGATGTCCCCGGTTTGTAACGCAAGGGAGCATCAGCACTCAAGAGTGCGTGTGTTATTTATTTGTCTTGACTTGCCGAGGGAATAGGAACCAGACGGACATCCCAAGAATGCTTATGGAGGCGGACCGACCTGTTTTTTTTCCGAAACAAGGAGGGGAAAAAAAAGAAAAAGAAGAAGAAGAAGAAGAATGTGGATGAACGAATGGAACGGAGCAAATCTCGGTAATATCCATGGCTTACCACAGGTGAAGGATCCCAAAACATCCTCCCCAGAAAAGAACAGAGCCAGGACCATGAGGCCCTTGGGGTGGGAATACAAATGTCGATGAACAAGCAGATTGGTGGCAGGAAGGTAACATACAAAAAAAAAAAAAAAAAAAAAAAGAATGCATTTCTCTGAATTTTCTCACCTGTACACCAACTGCAAACGCTTCTGCACCTTTGTGTGCCAAAAGCGCGATCAGCAAGGAGATTGCCCCTCCACTCCCAAAGGCCACACCCACCACGAAGGAATGAAAGGAGAACATTGTGGCCAGCACATAAGACATCATTCCCTCCCCCTTGAGAACGACGTGTTGGTGATGTGCCGCATGCAAATGGTCATGCAGAGAACTATACACGTCCGTCGACCCAGATGCTAACACCAATTCCCCGGCTGCTGGAGCTGCTCTCTCCTTCCACTTCCCAGCATGCAGATAGTGATCATGCGGCTCACAAGCCACAGGGGGAAGGGGAAAGCCTGATGGGAGAGCACCACCGCTCCCACACTCAGGAACGGTGCAGTCGTGAGGAGGTCTGGATTGGCGCAAGGCTGTTTGATTCTCCTCGTCTAGGCATTGGATGCAGTGCTCGGTGCTCACAGAGACAGATTCCTCGAGGGGGCTGTTCATTGTATTCAAGACACCATTCAGCCTCCAGTCCCCTGTGGGAGAAGACTCTTCCTCATGTTGTTGCCAGGCATCAGACGGCTTGAAAGGAGGTCCATCCTTGTGCACGCTTATCAGAAGAGGCTCACTCAACGACGGGGGCTCGCTGATTGACCTATGCAACTTGCAAAGTGCATGGCGATGCCGCCCTGGCAAGGCTGATTTGTCATCTTCACTCCCACGCTGGCCATCTATTCCGTACGAGGATACTGGATGCACCTGAACCAATCAACGAACAAGTTCATTTTCAAGGCAGTGTCTTTCGAAAGACTCTTTCCCACACGAAAAATATGTTGACGAGCAGAAACATACATGTCGCATGTCGTCCAACTGCCAACTCCCCTTTCACCTTCCATTTTTTTCCCTCCATTGATCTTTGTTAGAGAGAAATAGAACTTCTCGATTCATGCATGTCTTTCTTGCGCAAGGGCCATGCTAATCTTCTCTGTATTGTTACAATTTTAATTTTTAACAGATGTCCCAAGGGACAGAGAACCCCGCCCACGTGGCTGAGTAGTACACCCATGAACTGTTGCCAAAGAGGCCTGAGAGATCGAACCCTGATGTGAATCAGATGAATAATTAAATGTTAATTTTGGTAAATTAATAAATTCAATTAAATTGTGTATTACTCGGGGCCGGTCAGTTTGACATGGTACCTCAAGGCCATCGCCATTAGGGAAAAAAAAAGAAAAAAAGAAAGAAAGAAAGAAGCGTGGCTGTGTCAGGTTTTGAGTTCCAGAAGGCCAAAAAGGCTCATGTCCGTAGGTCTGTCTTGGCACGAGCTCCACATGGGCAAAGAAAACATAAAACGGCAGTCTGCACACCACGGGCCCCCGCCTGCAAAAAAAACTGACTCCACCTGTTTTGGAAGTCGCACCGTGTTTTTGTTGCCTTTCCGAACTCAGCTGCCTGACCCGCCAATACATGTTTTTTTTTTGCCCCTTCAGAAGTCGGTCATGACCGAAACCTGCCATCAATTTGAACTTTTTAGTCTTTTCTGTTGCCCCCAAAAAAGAACAACTTCAATGCTTGCCAGAAACCTGGTCCAGCATCCATTCCACAAGTGCACTCGCTTGACGCTCCCTCCGGCATTGATTGCGTCCTAGGACGGATTCGCTCCGCTGAAGCGCCACTTATCGGGTGGTGGATATGCTCACCTAGGATTGAATTGGAAGAGGCAGATTGCCCACCTAATTGGTTGGGGACAAGAGACATAACGACATCTCGTAACAACACAGCCTTTAGCAGATATATACCAGTGAATTCCACCAAAATGCATGTTCAGAATGGTGGTGATCGCACTTTATTTACAGCAGCAGCCTAGGATTTACCTCCGCTCCACACCTCTTCCTCTTTCAGCCCTCACTATTTGTGAAACCATCAACAGTCGTATTCTGCTTTCCTCCTAGATTGCTGAAACCCCCTTGGTCTCTGCTGCTATTCCATCTTTCTCCTTCCCTCGCTCTGGTTCGTATGATGCAGATTACTGTTTGCCAGAAACCCCCTTGGTCTCTGCTGCTATTCCGCCTTTCACCCGGTGTCTGCCGCTATTCTATCTTCCTCCTTCCCTTGCTGTCGGGAATAGTAACCGCTCTGCCATCTCTCCTTTTGAAAGAGGATTGAATTCTAATCAACAGACTATTATAGCAAAATCCACTCAAAAAACAAAGTTTTTCCTTTTTCAATTTATTCAAAATCAGGAGGAAAAAACAATTCAAGGAGAACTGTATTGATTGCTTTCTCAGGCTTTTTGAGAGAGATCATGAATAAACTAAAATACATTTGTCTGGAGTATAATTAGTATGATAATTGCTTTTCAATTTGCTTCTTTCCTTTTTTTCTTTTTTGCTTTTGTTTTGGAAAACACTCAGATCCAGGGCTGGTCCCCGGTTGAACCGGGGGCCCCTCCCCCGACAGGGAGCCTGCCAGTCTGACCGGCCGGTCAACCGGGCCGGCAGACTCCCGGTTGAGTCCAGCGCATTGCACTAGGGGGGGGGTACTAGGGAGTCACGGGCATCCCTGCGATTGCCCATCCCAAGGAGGACCCTGCCTCTTTAAAAGAAAAAGAAAAACAGGGCATCCTGGACCCCATTTCTTAAGAATAATGGGCTGAGGATGTCCGCCGCTGATCTTTGCAGATCAGCAGTGGAGAACCGCCACACATTTTTCTTAAGATGTGGGTCGGGTGGGCCCCTTCTCCAATTTGTCATCTTGTTGTCCAACGGACCAGGCAACATTTGATGCTCTTTCACCCTCAGCCACAAGGGGAACACTATACTTGTGAGGAGACTCTGCTGAGATTGTACCCTTCTGCGACGTCCCTGCCATCTGTGGAAAAAGTTATGGGTTCGGATTTCGGAATCGTGATGTCAGAGCCGTCCGAGGTGCAAGCCCAAGAATGGACCTAATATTCTTCTCCCTGTCTATCTCCAATGGACCTTGCTCCACTACATGTATCTGGACAGACTTCCAGGGAAGATACTTCCGGACTGATAACTCACCTTATGTAGCAAAGAACAAACAGAAACCTGCCTCCTAGAGCTGAAAGCTGGACCCATGACTCTTCTGCTGTCGAGCTATACTCTGGAAGAGCTATAAGTTCTGGCAAGGACCTCATCTCATTATATCTAGTTCAGCTCGTGGGGTAATAATATCAGATAACCCACTCCACGAAGAGCTCCACCCACGGGGGGGTCAGATAAGTGAACTTGCTCGACCCCTCCCCGTGGAACCCATAGTTGCCTGAATATGTCAATAACAAGTTAAATAACCCCGTGCCCCCCTCTGGAAGCCCCCAGAGAAATATTGCACCTTCAAAATTGTAATTGCGGATTCCGACAGCTCTCGAAGAGCGCAGTCGAAATCTGTCAGAAAAAAAAAAAAAAAAAAAAAAAA